GAAACAAAATTAGTAAAAAATAAATTCAATTTCAAACTTGGGGTTTCGACTGTGAGTCCGATTAATATTATAATAATAGTTATTTAAAAAAAATTATGTTTAAAATATATTAAAATAGTATTTTTATTTTTAAAAAATTTATTTTAAATAAATAGAGATACAGGAGAACATATACTATGCGGGATATAAATAGGATGCTAGGTTTTAAATTTATAATTTTTTTACAACAAATGACCCAAATATAGTTTTAAGTTTATGGTTTACAAATTTCAAACAATTAACTAAATATAAACTTACTGCAACTTTTTTTCAAATTAAGTACTTCTAATTTATATTTTCTTATAAAAATGAGAATTAATGAGAATTAATGTGGTAATATGATTAATGATATGGTCATATTCTAAACGAGTTATATGGAGTAAAAAAAATAATTTAAGCAGCGTAGGTTTTATATAAATTTGATAACAAGACATGACATAATTATTTTTAGATTAAGAAGTCATTTATTTTTTTCATACCAATTCCTTTAATCTTCAATTTTATTTTACTATAATTGTGAAATCTTGTAATAAGAGCTTATTTAATATTGTGGTAGTGATTGTTTTTTAAAATATTTTTTATTTATTATTATATTAAAATAATAATTATTTTTATTTTTGATATCATTACATCAAAATGATCTAAAAGCACTAAAAAAATTTAAAGCAAAAAAAATTAAAAAAATATTTAAAAAAAAAACATTTTTACAATTAAAAAACAAACAAGTTCTAATGAATACATTTCGTCCCAATGTAATAGAAAAAAAAGTATTTTTTTCCATTATTATATCTGCTTTCTTCATTATGATTTATGCAATATCAGAAATATGTTTTTAAATTTTTCAAGAGAAAGGATGGGGGATGAGAGGGAGGGGTTTGGAAGGGAATACGAGGGTTTTCTATGAACATTAAAATATCTATTGTTAAAACAACAAACTTTTATTACAAAGTTTTGGTGGATTTTACTTTTTAATTTATCAATTTATATATTCGTTTTTTTTAAATTAATATAAGTATATTGGGATATTTGATATGATAATGATTTTGTTAACTTTATGGGTTCCATATGTGGAACAAGTCCATGTCATTTTGTCTATTATAAAGTTTTGGTAAATTTTTACTTTATAATTTATCAATTTATTTATTCGTTTTTTAATTAATATAAGTATATGGGAATATTTGATATGATAATCATTTTGTTAACTTTATGGGTTACATATGTGGAACAAGTCCATGTCATTTTGTGAGCTTGGCCTTTCTAAGCAAGTTCATGGCAACAAGACATGTCACCTCATTCAAATATATGTTTCTTTTTTCTTTTTTCTTTTTATCCATCATTGAAATAATTCCGTGGATATAAAATAGAGAGTTCTAATAGAATTTGCCAGAAATTTGTATCCATCTATGGGAGCATATTAGAGCAAAAAAAAATGATTTCAAGACTACTAAACTCAATCCTTTTTATCTTGTGTGCCCTTTGTTCCAGGAGCATATTAGAGAGAAAAAAAAAATTGATTTCAAGGCTACTAAACTCGATCCTTTTTATCTTGTGTGCCCTTTGTTCCATCAACTACTTCGAGAACCCCACGGCCTCAGGCTTCACAAATGAAACAGACCGAGAAGCTTTGCTAGCAATGAAGCATCTCGTCTTAAAAGATCCTTTCAGAGCTTTGAGCTCATGGAATGCCTCACTGCATTTCTGTACTTGGCATGGTGTTGCATGCTGTTCCAAACATCAAAGAGTGATTGCTCTGAATCTTTCATCACTGCAACTGGCAGGTTTCTTGTCTCCCCACATAGGGAACCTTACCTTCCTTAGGAGAATCGATCTCAGTAAGAACAACTTCCATGGAACAATTCCAGAAGAAGTCGGACACCTGTTTCGCCTACAATACCTCTCTCTCTCAAATAACTCTTTCCAGGATGAACTTCCAGGAAATCTAAGCCATTGTTCAAATTTGAGATTCTTGGGTATGGAGGGAAACAACCTTACAGGGAAAATTCCTAGCGATCTGGGATCTTTGTCTAATCTAAGAATGCTTGGCATCCTCAGAAACCATTTGACAGGTTCACTCCCTCTTTCATTTGGGAATCTCTCTAATCTCGTCTCACTTTCTCTGAGAGAGAACAATCTTGAAGGAAGCATACCTATTGAATTTGAACGCCTGTCCAGGTTAGCATATCTTGACTTGTCCTTCAACAATTTGTCAGGTATGGTTCCGAAAGAGCTTTACAATATCTCATCCTTGAGCACTGTTGCCATGGTCTCCAACAATTTAAGTGGTCGCCTCCCCCTTGATTTAGGCTTGACACTTCCCAATCTCCAAACTCTGTATCTCGGACTAAACCGGTTCCTCGGACCTGTTCCAGCATCCATAGTTAATTCCTCGGGACTTGAATACCTTGATTTAGCTTCTAATTCCTTTTCAGGGCCAGTGCCAAAGAATTTAGGAAGCCTACGTTATCTTCAATCCTGGATTTTGGTTTTAACAAAATTGGTGATAAGAATAACAATGACTTGACTTTTCTCACCTCCTTAACCAACTGTACCTATCTAGAAGAGATCTCGCTTTACAAAAGTAACCTTGGAGGATTATTGCCAAACTCCATAGCAAATCTCTCGACCAATCTCTATTACCCGGTAATGTGGGGCAACTACATAACTGGAACCATTCCTACCGATATTGGAAATCTTAAAAGCTCGCAGATTCTTGATTTGGCTGACAACATGCTCACAGGAAGATTACCTGAATCTATTGGGAAGTTAGTCATGTTAAAAGAGTTCTACGTTCACTTGAATAAAATCTCGGGGGAAATTCCATCCTCTTTGGGAAACGTTTCTGGATTACTTAAACTAGATTTGGGAGTGAATCTTCTCGAGGGAACCATACCTGTTTCTTTGGCTAATTGCACAAGCTTAAATCTTCTGGACATTTCACACAATCACCTCAGCGGGTTCATACCTGAAAAGATCTTTAGTCTTTCTTCCCTCACGCTTGGCCTTCTTTTAGGATCAAATAGATTAAGTGGAAGATTGCCAAGTCAAGTGGTTGACATGAGAAATCTCGTCGAATTGGATATTTCAAGAAATAAAATATGTGGAGAAATTCCAAGTACTCTAGAGACTTGTCTCATGTTAGAGACTCTCAACATGAGTGGTAATTTCCTCAGAGGCACTATTCCTTCCGCTTTCAAGAAGCTAAGAAGTATTCAAGTCCTAGACGTTTCCTGCAATAATTTGTCTGGGCAGATTCCAGAGTTTCTTGCTGATTTGCCATTCCTTTCTAATCTAAACCTGTCCTTTAACGAGTTCAAGGGCAAGGTGCCAGCTGAAGGAGCTTTCGAGAACGCTAGCCAATTTTCCATTGCTGGAAATAACAAGCTATGTGGAGGAATCAAGGCGATTCAATTGCCTGAATGTCCACGAACGAAACAGCACAAGCGTTTTTCAAAGAGAGTAGTGATCGTTGCAAGCAGTGTTTCTCTCTTCATTACGTTTCTTCTAGCATGTATTTTTGCCGTTGGATACAGGAAACTATCAACCAACAGGAAACCCCTATCAGCTGCAACCTTGGAGAAGAAGTTCCAAATAGTTTCCTATCAAGACCTTGCTCGTGCCACTGATGGGTTCTCTTCTGCCAATGTGATTGGTGATGGAAGATATGGCTCTGTCTACAAAGGAATTCTCGGTCCTGATGGTAAAACCGTCGCCATAAAGGTTCTCAAACCTGAACAGCGAGGAGCCCACCGTACTTTTGTGGCTGAATGTGAAACATTAAGCGCATCAGGCATCGGAATCTTGATAAAATTGTCACTGCTTGCTCGAGCATTGATTTCAAAGGCAATGACTTCAAAGCTTTGGTATTTGATTTTATGCCCAGTGGAAGTTTGGAGAGCTGGTTGCATCCAAGTACAGGGGAGTCACAAAACTCGAAAAGGTTGAGTCTACTGCAAAGGATTGGCATGTTGATCGATGTGGCATCGGCATTGGATTATCTTCACAACCATTGTGATGAACAAATCGTCCACTGTGATCTAAAACCAAGCAACATCCTTCTTGACAACGACCTTACAGCTCATGTGGGTGATTTTGGCCTTGCAAGGATTCTTTCGGCAGCCGCAGGAGAAACCCCGTGAACATCGACCAGCTCACTTGGCGTAAGAGGAACTGTTGGATATGTGGCACCAGGTAAAATAATATGCAATTATCCTCCCTCGTGACTACTGTTAAGCATATTCATGAATTCTAGTTCCGTTCAAGTTTAATTTAAATTGCTCGAACTTCAAAATAATGTTATGATATGCTCTAGTTTCTATCTAACTTCACTGTGTTTTGTTTCCTAAGCAAAATATGATTTCAGTCAAAATATATTTTTTTCATTCTAAGAGGAAGTATTGACAGTAATGGTCTTATTTGTACCTTGAATTGCAGAATATGGTATGGGTGGAGAGGTTTCAGTAAGTGGTGATGCGTATAGCTATGGCATCCTCCTTCTGGAGATGTTTACAGGAAAAAAGACCCACCAACGGCATGTTCACGGGCAACAATAGCCTCCATAATTTCGTTAAAACAGCTCTTCCTGATCAAGTATCAGAGATCATCGATCCTCTGCTTAAAATTGATACCCAGCAGTTAGCCGAGTCGAGCAGAAATGGTCCAGTAGGGACAAGATAGAGGGCTGTTTGATATCAATCTTACAGATTGGTGTCCTATGTTCTGTTGAGCTTCCAAGTGAACGAATGGTCATAGCAGAAGTTCTCTGAACTAGATAAAATTAGGAAAATTCTCTGCAGCAAGTAGAGAGATCTCAAGCCATGACTGCGATTGCTCTTGCAATTTTCTTTTGTAATGCATGACACGGATTTATTCTGAACCTACTTCCCTAGCTTTACTACTTGTATGTAGGTGCTGTACTGCTATTATATGTTATGTTTTAGCGACTGATCTCTGGAAATCATGAGTGAGGAGCCGACATGTAAATTTCTCCGTAGACAGGGTGCATCAAAATACAAGAGTTATATGATCAAGCCCTATCAATTGCCTCTGATTTGTCTTGTTGATTCATTTAGCACCAGCAGAGGAATTCCATCCTTTTGATCTGCAGCTTAATTCATCATGGAGTTCATCCTCATCTTCCAAGCTTGTTTCTTCGTTGAAGCTCATCCATCAGCAGATGTGCAACTGATTTGTAACCCATCTCTCGAGCTTTTATGTCATTCGTATGAAAGGAAACCAATACCATATCATCAATCAACTATATTAGCTCGTTAACAGAAAAGGAATTGATAGTAATTATATTCATATGCAAATGAAAATATAAATGCCAGAAGATAAACCTTTGAAAATTGCTAGCCCAGTTGGAGCCATCTCTCGCTTGCGTAAGCACAACGAACTATCCACAAATAAAAGATTAAAAATTAGAAACGACAGGTTTCCAATTGATAAATCTCAAAAGATTACTTGGTAATTCTGCAATAGCAAATACATTTAATTATAGCTCTAAATTAAAAATGAAAACATAATCATTCGTACCTGTTACAAATCCAATAAGGATTAGATCCTCTTTCTTCTACGCAATGAGGGCACATCCACTTCTTATTTTCTCTCACCTCCTCTATGTCTACCAAAACATCATCACAGTAGGGTTAGATGATTCCATTATTTTTGTGGACACAAACATTTTGCATATCATCCTCCTATATGAACATTTTTGTAGTCTTAGGAGCTTTAAAGTCCATAACTAGGTTTTTAAGGCTGCTAACACTAACAGGACTAAGTGGTTTTGTACCAGCTGGTTCTTTTTTGGTGGAAGGACTCACCTTCTCCATACCTGACCTTGAGACAACCTCGACAGAAAACACCAGTTGGAGAATGACAAAATGAACAGTCTGTTTTTCCTGCTTGGAACATAAGAATTTAAAAAGTACAGACCATTATTGATTATAGAGACTGGTTCATTTATAACTGACCTATGCAAGGATAAACATCAAAAATACACAAAAGCATTCTAAAGCTACCTATGCATGGTTCATCAGGATCAAGGTTACTGCAGCGCTTGCAATCTTCTTCGCTACACAATGTCTTTTGCCTGCGTTTGTGTGTAATTAGATTCACATTATCATGCTCTATTTTGACTAGACTTGCCAGGTTGAACGGTTAGCCAAAACTAGTTAAAGCATAGAAAGGTCTAAAACATGCTGAATTCTAAGACGGTGCTAGTTAGAAAATTAGTAACGTGTACAATGTTCACATATTCCATTGTGATGTCACATCGTATAAAAAATTCCTTGTGACTTTCCAGGCCATGAAGCGCGAAGGTTCCCTTTTTAACTAGTTGCGCACTTGTTTTCGAGATTCAAATGGTTATGTGGCTTCATAATGGATTGTTCTTGAGGTTCAAATGATCGATTTTGTTTACTTTAGAAAGTGCCAGAACAATTATTTATGCAAAAGACCGTAAGAAAAATATATGCAACTGAAGTCCTTTACTATATAAGTACTTTCAAATTTCAATTGCAATTATACATGCAGTATAGAATGGTAGTGAAGTGGGACTAAGGACGCTTATATTATGGAACATTACTTGTAACTGAGTGTGCTCTTTCTATAAGTTTCAATCGTTGCCATTCTTAAATAGCTATAATATAATTATGTAAAATGCACTAAAATTTGGGGGTGAAAGCGCACCAAATAGATGCCTTTTGTAGCATACCAAAGGCATCAAAATTTGAAGATCTTTCAACCCTAAGCGCTCTACAATCGCAGTTCTAATCACAAAAACAAACAGAGATATTTATTTCAATCATCTTATATAACCCATTTCCAAGAATTTCCATGTCCCTCAATAAAATAATTAACATAACAATTCAAATGAGCAAATAAGAAAAACAAAACTTTAGCAGGATGGATTTTGTACCTGCAAAAATGGCAGCAAATCCCAAAAACCGAGTTATAGATCGTGCCTCTACCCTTACTACTACATCGCCTAGCAGAAGCCTCCGGCGAAAGTTGAATCTGCATCGCACCCTTTACCTTCACTAACGGAGCATTTGCAGGCCTTTTCTCATCTTCTTCCTCTTCACTCTCATCACCAACCTCCACTTTTCTCCTCACAACTAACACAAAAGGAACACACACAAAAAACCCGCGTCAAATCCAACAACCCATTACTTTAATTTTGATAAAATCACTCTGGAAAAAAAAAAAAAAACAGGATACCTGCTTTGACGGGTTCGGTGGAAATTTCTTTCAAACGATTAGACCGACGTAAAGAAAGATTGTTACTGTACTGTATTGATGATTCGACGGAGCTGATCCTCTTCAATCGATCAGATCGTCGCAAGATTGCGGTCTCGTAAACTCTTTTAGTCCATTTCTTTCTCTCGCATTTTGGAGAAGAAGAAGTTAAGGATCGAAGATCAGAGAGTGTTTTGTGTATTCCAAGCGATTCCAATCGAGCCTACAATTATTAATAATAACAGTTCAGTTAAATCATTGGTTTTTACAAGAAATCAAAGAAACAAAGCAAAAATCCTGAGAGCATTACCTGGTTCTCTAAGATGCGTGCGTTTCTTTGATCTTCATAGTCGGATTTACATTTAAGCTTCCCCATTTTCTTAGAAAATTCAAGATTTCTTTCTGGTTTGAGGGAGAGATAGAGAGAGAGGGGTTTTCAGCCCTCGTTTCTAACGGTCAAGAGATATTTGAATGTTCAAACTTTGAATTTCTATCCAGATTTATCTGGCCCCGGTAATTAAAAGGGCCTACGTTGAATATTTTAAAGCACATTTATAATCATTATAATTACAGATCAGCTTGGGTAACAAAACTAAATTGTTTTGTTCGGTTTACGTGGGAGAGTATAATATTAGTTATTTTTTAAAATATTTTTTATTTAAAAATATATTAAAATAATATTTTTTTATTTTTAAAAAATTATTTTTAACATTCAAACATTAAAATGATTTAAATATATAAAACAATTAATTTTAAATAAAAAATTCAAAATTTGGAAAATATTGTTTGGAATGCAACTCCAACCAACCCCTAAAACACTAATTTAAAGAGAGAGAGAAATTAAATCACTGAATGAACTCATAAGCCATCGAATTAATTTGAATTATTGATTATTTAGGAATGTCGTAGCTTTTATTTTTTAATGTGTTGAGAGTGGTAGTTTATATTTATTAATGTATTTTTAAAGTATGTTTTACTTAAAAAAATCAAATAAATAATTTTTTTAGTATATTTCTATGATTTTGATATATTAATATCAAAAACAAAATAAATTCTAAAAAATATTATTTTAATATATTTATAAAAAAAACACTTGTAAAAAATATCTTACATCATAATATTAGAAAAATATTATTTTGTTTTTTATAAAAAAATTAATTATTTTAATTTAATAGGATTTCGTCTGGTTTTATCATATTAATATTTAATTTAAATTTAATTAAAAATTTAATTCAAGTTAAGTTATGTTTGTTAAACTTTTCAATCAAGCCATCAAAATATTTCAAGTTTAAAAATTATAATTCAATTACCTCTAGGTAATAAATCATTCATTGAAACAAATTGGTATATTTGTAAAAACAATATTGTAAACTTTATTGAATTGAAATTCAAAATAATAATATGAGGCAAAATATTATATATATATATATATATATATATATTAGGCTTAACTTCTTTCCCAGATACTGATATTGGTCTCATTTTTCTTTCTTAGGACATAAAGAGTCCAGAAACCAAAAGACACGAGTTTGCATTGCAAAAAATAGATTTAAAGTACCTTTCTCATCACATCTCTGTTCGGTTCTTTTCTTTTTTTCTCATTTGGATAGAGATTTTGCTTACAATATGCCCAATAGCATTAAGGATTCCGCTCTTTTTTCCTCCTCTTTTTTTCTGGAATTTATTCCCTTGTGACTATAATTTAATAATTTTCTTTGTAGATACCGTTGCCTCGTTATTCTGAAGATACAGGGCCGAGCATATGCACAGAGACACCAACCTCTAAGATTTTATTGTAATTATTAACAAATCTGCCCGATTCGATTAAACTAGATCAGGTTTATCTCAAACTATTTTGTAAGAAACACATGATTAGATCAACTGTATGGTTTTGAACAAAATGAATATCTTAGATTGATCCAATAACCGGTAAGTTAACGGAATGATCCGATGACCAGGACTTTTAAACCGGATCAAACCCATATCCATGGATATTACAAGCATGTGTATTTTTTATAATGCAACTTGTGGTCTATCATTATCAGCTTTCCTGGCGCTCTTCAATATCATATTGCCAGTTTCAATCTAACCATAACAACTCCATCGATTTTCTCCATCGGAAAGGGAAAGAAATCTACCACTGCCACTAATCTTTGCCGAGCTAATCAAGTCATTGTTACTCCGCCACCGTGGTCCGTCCATCAATTACAGAACTACCCTACCACTACTTGTTATCAGGCCAAAATGTATTCTTTACCTAAAAAGTAGTTTCAGCAACGAGACATGTTCGTAATTACGGGTGGAGCAGGGCTTGTTGACTATCTCTAAAGCCTTTAAGCCCTTTTACCTGCCTTTCCGGCCTTCTGGGACCAAAGACGTTTTGATGGTTTCTTAGAGATGGAACCCGGAAGGAAATTGCAGTGCCTCTGTGAACAGGAACCGATGATTTTTAAGCCACGAAAATGGTATGAATCATGACTTTTTATCCCCGTGATGTCGGTATCCCAATTGTAATCATCCCTAGCCCAGCCATGTTCAACTGTCATTTGAGACTGGTATTTATAGGCCTTATCAACACCAGCTGATCAGAGGAAGAGCAGCAAAAAGACACTGCTACAACAGCTTACAGCATAGTTGAAAACAAAGTCCCCTGTAGTGTTGTCTTATATAATTGGAAGCAGTCACCAAACTATATGGTATTCCCTGAAAATGAAATTGTATGCAAGATTTGCAAAAGCAGCATGCAATTATCATGCAGAGAGCCAGTGAAAGTCTTTTTCGTCTTTTGCCTCAGTAATGTTGATATTAGAATTTTTGTATATCTAATCACCGGAGAGAAATGACTAGATCTGTTAGGGATCCGGCTGATTTGTGTTGTTTATGAGGTCTTCTGTATTACTGGATGGACGTGTCACTTGTTGTGCTCTTCTTTTGGTAAATTTGTCTGGGAACGGATCTGCCAAAGCATTGTTATAAAGAATTCAAGCAAAGTCAGTCTACAAGTCTCTTCATCACCCGCCTGCATTATTTTTTTTATCCATAAACTGCTACAGACCAAGTCGCCAAACCATCTCCGTCACCAAGGGCAGCATTGGCATGCAGAAGCAGGCATTTCGCGTGTAAAGAACTCAAAAGCCCCTCTTTTGGCGTTGGCCTGCTGGCCTGCAGGCCTGCAGAAGCAGGCATTTTGTGTTTAAAGAACTCAAAAGCCCTTCTTTTGGCATTGGCCTGCAAAAGCAGGCATTTTGTGTTTAAAGAACTCAAAAGCTCTTCTTTTGGCATTGGCCTGCAGAAACAGGCATTTTGTGCTTAAAGAATTCACAAGCTCTTCTTTTGGCATTGGCCTACATTTTGGTGTTCAAAGAATTCTCGAGCTCCTCTCATTTTTAGCAGAGCCGTCTTTGGGATGCTTGGTTGGTAATAGATACGTCAATTTTAATTATCTCCGAAAATTTGGAACAAGAGTACGTGGTAAAGAATCGAGCTTATTGCTTGAAAGAATCAATGAATCAAAATTTGTACACCAACTAATAAAGACGACCACCATTTGCACCTCATGTACAAGATGCTCAGTAACCTATTCTAGGTTGAAAACCCTATGGCCGCTGACAAATGTTCAATTTACAAGCAGTTGCTGCATTTGTTCCAGGTTTCCTAACTTTGTGCTTGGAGATTTCGACTTTGTTGCCTAAATAATTCTTCTAAAGCTTCTCGCATCCACCAATTATGGCAAACTTCTCTAGCTTCATTAATAGAAACCTGAAAGAAAAGAGCAGATACATTGCTGGATCAGATCCCATCCTCTTAAACAATTGCATAAAAACTATCGATCAACACCATGACAACATACGTTAACACATACCCATCTTCGTTTACGGATATTTTTCTCCGGCCAACAGTCTAATTCTTTTTGAACAAGCAGAGGAAACATGTAGCTCTCATGCATTATGCAACTCCTTTTACTCTTGTAATGCCATGGGCCTAATTTATCCTGCAAAGGCAACACCGAAAAATTCAATTAGATTTCATAAGATGGCATCGACTGAAACAATGAGAAACTTTTATGTAATGATGGATTGCATATACTAACCTGAACAACACCAATAACTCCTGCTTCCTCCTCCGTCTCTCGCTTCGCTGCCTCTTCCATACATTCATCATTTTCCCATCCTCCCTGTTCAATATAGAACAGACTATTAGTTAAGAGAAAAAGGAAATGACTGAACACAGTTATCTTAAAAACCAAATGATGATAACGAGCCTGTTGGTGTAAGCAACTTAGTATTAGTACCTTTGGGAGCAACATTCCTTGACCATTTTGTGCACTAATGACAAGGACTTCTAATTCTTCAACTGAAGTTGGTTCCTGTGATTTCTTGTATCTATATGGAATGCACCTGCATAATTTTAAAAACAAAATAACGAAAGAAGATCAGATCATAATTTGACCAATTAAAAGTGAAAGAATCTCTCTTTTTTCAACAAAATAAAATTCAAATGCAAAACAAGGATTAAAAAAATAAATCCAAGCCAAAATCGATATCCTAAAAGACCAAAACATCAAAACCATGAAGGCAACAGATCAAAACTATATTTAAATATACAAAAAAAAAAATCAAGTTCAACAAATTTAACTTGAGATTGTAAAGAGTTTCCAAATGTTTTAGCAAAGATCAAGCAAACATATTTAATTAAGGAATTGCCAAAAACCATGAGATATGAAAGGAAAAGAAAACTCACCCTACAACAAGGCGATAGCCTTTCTCATAACGTTGAAGATGTCTGCCAGTACGAGAAACCAAAGTGACCATATTCTCAATTTGCACAGGCAAACACTTTGATGGGATTTTAATAGGGAATGGGAAAAGAAAGTTGAGGAGATTTGTTAAGTTTGTGAGATAGAAAGAAAAACACCTCATGTTTATGCCACACAGAGACTCAATACCAGATTTCTGGTGAAGGTTTTGATTTGTTTGACAGTAACCTTAAATTATACAACCCTCAATTTGCTCTTCTTTTTCTTTCCTTCTTGAAAACTAAACACGGGTTCTCTCAAATGGGATTTTGCTATACTTAGAGAAGATATTGTTTTGGTAGGAAACGGAGAGCATTTGATGCTACAACGATACCGCGAACAAAAAGTTCAGACAAAAGTATGTGGATAAGGAACTGAGGTTATTTGATGCCCTTAAATAGAGATTTTGCAGTTCGGAGAAGGAGGGAGAGACAGGGAGGAAATTGCTGTATGGCTTTTGTCTTGATAAGTGGACAGACGCGCACTTTGTGATGGTGAGCATAACTCGATTCGAAAGTGAAATATTCAATAAGAACACCCCTTTTTATTTAGCATGAGGATTATCTTGTTAATTATTAGTTCTTTGACTGACTTTCGTTCGTGCTCGCGTTGCTTATTTCTTGGATCGCCTGTTTGAGGACTGCAATTGTGACAGCCTCTTCATGGATTGACGGGGTC